TTTATTTTTTTGTGAAATGCAATGGCTTGTGTCTTTGTTGGGTTCAATGATACACGCCACGAGTTGCACCACTTGGAGACAGAGTCCAGTGCGCGTTCGAGGCTGTACCAGGGTTGCTCGAAATACTCCAAATGGCGATGTCATCTGCGTATTGTGATGTTGATGTGTATGTTTGTTCAGGGAATGGGATGTCGTTAACAAATATGTTGTAAAGTGTTGGACTGAATACCGAACTCTGTGGGACTCCTGCAGAGAATCCGAAACTAGTCGAGAGTGAATCGTTAATTTTTACCCTGGCTGTTCGATGATTTAGGAAACTTGAGATCCATCTTAGTAATGTTATAGGTACTTTTAGTGAGTTTATGTACATTTAAAATCAGGCTGTCTTCTTATAGTTGTGCGAATCCTACAGCGACAAACACCATCAATACTGTTATGTCAGCGGAAGTCACGTGACGCTGGTAAAACGTAATGAGTATCTCGAAGGTTCATGAATACTCGAGTGTTTGCTAGATGTGCTGTATTCTAATATATAAGCCCGACAATCAATCGGAACGGAAAGAGCAGACAGAGAGATTGAAGATATAAACAGACAATTGAGTCAAGCGCGGTAGTAACTAAAGTGCTTGAATCGTTCGTTGAGAATTATAGCGTGTGTTGAAGTTAAAGTGACTGTGGAAATTAACTGTATTGCAAAGTTGAATTCAGATAGAATAAACTAGTTTTATTTGATAAAGGAATTGTATCGCTGAAGTTCTACGGAAAGAATTTTTACGAGTAATTAACAAACGACCAGAGACGTAACAATATATTTAATTTCTGTATTGCATACTGGTGTATAAAAGACATTTTAATACTAGAAATAAAAGACCTTATAACACGAAATTGTTATGTCCAGTTTAAGAAAAACAACAATTTATTGTTAAAAGGCCATTTATTTCTAGTATTAAAACATCAATAAAAAATTTTTGAACCTGTTGTAGATTATTTGGAAAAAAGCGTTTTGATCTGCTGACACTTAGACTTCGGGAAGTTCTTAACAAATCTTTTTAATGAACAACAATAATTAAACTTTCTTTTAAATCAAAATATCCATCTTTTTTGTGATAACATTAAACATAATTTTTTCTAAGTGAAAAGGCATTCCTGTGAAACCGACCAAAATATAGTTGTTGTTATAAATTATATTTTAATTAGATGTTTGTTTGCTAGAGGAAGCTTTTCACAATGTAATTATCACGCAACAATATCTCCAGGCTTCCTGTTGTAAGTAAAAAATTAGTACAATATTGTTACGCTTCCAGTCGTTAGTTAATTTTCCGTAAATTCTTTCCGACTAAATTTTAGCGACACAAGTCCTTTCTTAAATAAAACTGGTTTATTCTTTCCGAATACAACTTTACGATACACTTATTTTCAAAAGTCGCTCTATAACAAACGCTATAACTCACGTCTCACGTGGCCAACAATATTCTGTCTGCGTACATTCAATTACTCACTACCTCCCCGTCGCTTCGTGGCCGGTCTTATATAAACAAGACTACATTATATCTAGAAGGATCACGAGATTTAAGGAAAAGACGTGAATGTTCGAGAATGACGTGGCGTGTTACTAGTCACGTGACCTCGATGTCGTAACAATATAAAAATGCCAGACTAACTTTAAGTTAATGAGTTATTATCTTCAGTGTCAGTCATAGGTAGCTTGAACAATAGCCACTTAATGACCTTCTTGACCAATGTGTTATTTGAAACTGCACATACGCTAGAATAAACGGTATTTTTGAAACATTCTATACCAATGCAAAGGGTAACAATTGCTAGTGGGTTAACCCTTTAACCCTTTCTTTGTGTGCAAGTATATTGTTATATGTCATTCACTGAAAATAACACATCACCTTGTAATCTTATATGCCCATGGGGAAGATAGTTAGCTAGTATTTGGTTGTAGTTAGTATGTGAAAGTAAACAACACTTTTTTCCATTGGTAATTCAGGTGATATTTAGAGGCTACAACCTCCATCATTTTCTAATGAGAATGATCAGTCACCTGCATAGTGCTAGCTAGTCTCCCTGGGAGAATGTGACCTTATAGTTTTAAGTATAACGTTATAACGAGATGTTTTCCCAGAATGGGTAAAAAATTTCTATCAGAAATTACAGATATTTTCGACATATACAACTGTTACGTCTCCGTTTGTTAATTGATTTTCCGTAACTTCGTTCCGACGAAACTTAAGCGACA